GGGGTGGAGTTGGTGGTGATGGTGTGTGTATGCCTGTGTGTGTGTGTTTGTGTGTGTGTGTGTAGTTTGTGGTGGTGGTGGTGATGGTGTGTGTGTGTGGTGGTGATGGGGTTTAGACCTCTGTCCCTTCACCAGCCTCCCCCAGAGCCTTATGGAAGCCTAGCCAATTAGAACTGAAAACCATCATTTCCCTTGGAAGCCAGAATGTAGGGATCCCCAGGACTCTGGTAGAGAAAAAAAAAAAAGATCTGGAAGCTTCGGAGCGGGTGGGCCATGGGCTGAGGACCTCAGGATCTCTGTTATGGAGACGACGGAATGAGTAGCTCAAGTAGATGGGGCAGTGGGGGAGACCTTGAATGACGAGAATCTGCAGGCCTCTAGGACCCTGAGCTGAGGTGTGTGTAACTAGAGCCCCTCCCGCCTCCAGCCACGTAGGCATTAGCTACCGTCCTGGAAATTGCACACTGTCTACTGCCACAGACTCAGATTCCAGACGTACTTCCTTCTCCAAACTAACCCCCCTCCTTCAGCTATTCCGAAGGTCAATTCTGCCCCAAGAGAAAGCTCCTACTCAAACTCCCACTCCTGAACAAACACACATATTCTCTCCCCCCCCCCCTCTGTGGTTAGTTGCTTGGTTTGGGACCCCTCACCATCTGCTTTTCGTATCTAAGAGGCTGCATTTATTCACCTAGACCCACTAAAATAAAACTGAGCGGAGCCCTCCCTCCATATTCGGTCTACTCCCACTCCTCTTCTTTCCAATTTGACACACACCCCTTGCCCTACTCTCTATTGACCATCCCTCTGAGGCCATCCCAAGTCCTGGCCACCGTTTCGATGGTACTCACGTCCGTTATACGCCCCCCACGACTCCACCCCCCGAGTCCGGGCGGCGAGCATCCCGCCCTCTCCTGGTCAACTCCAAGTAAGACAAGTCACTAGGCTCCGGGTAGCACCCTGGCCGGCCCCCGCACCTGGTAGTAGGCCCTCTGCAGGTAGTTGTAAGGTTCCCGCCGGCGGAAGGCATCCCGCAGCGCGCTCCCCACGCGGAGCCGAGCCGCGCCCCCCGGGCCCAGCCTCCGCGCCGCGCACTGGGTCAGGCACTCGGCGCGGCGGAGCGTGGCGCGCAGGAGCAGCGGCTCCCACGCCCCGGGCCCCGAGACGGGCTGCGGGGCTCCGAGGAGCTGGGCGGGGAGCGCGGCGTCCGGCTCGGCCGCGCAGCTCGCCCCGCAGTCCTGGCGCGCGCGGCCCAGCGCCGCCCGGCTCCGCAGCGCCTCTCTCAGCAGCGCCACTGCGGGCGCCCAAGCCCCGGCCGAGTAGGCTCGCAGCCCGTCCGCGTAGAGCAAGTCGGGGGCCAGGGGAGGCGCCCCCGGTGACAACTGAGCCAGCCCCGGGGGCTCGGGAGGCTCGGGGGACCCCGGGGGAGGCAGCAGCAGCAAAAGCAACAACCGCAGGAGCCGGAGCATGGTGCCCAGAGCCGCCGGCCCACAGCCGAAGGGAAACGCGGAGACGGGAGGGAGGGAGAGGAAGGGGGGGTAGGGGGAGGAGAAGGAAGGAGAGATGGAGAGGAGGAGGGAGAGGAAGGGAAAGGGAATGAGTGATGCCGAAGAAACCTGCTGGGTTTAGGCCTGCCGCTGGGGAAAACGAAGTGAGACCGAGCGAGAATTCCGAGGGACACATGGGTCTAGTGTGGGTAAGGAAGGGAAATGGAGAAAGAAGGGTGAAATAGGGGTCCCGGGCCGCCTGTAGCGTGGGGATAACGTCGTTTCCGTCCATCCTGGGATCCTGGAAAAGGATCGTGGACGCCTCTCACACGTTCATGTACCCACGCTTCTGCCAACCCACTGTATGAAGAAGGATCTTCGAAACTCTGCGTGGAAGAGGGTGCCACTCCGGGCATGGGACCCCAATTCTGGCACCCAAATTTTCTACCCAGAAAGTGAGCACCCGGACTCATTTAGGGGAGATGAGGATTGAGCACTTTTACTAATTTAAACAAAGATCCTTCCCACTTCAAACTAACACAGTCAGGTGTCCCATACTCCACCCCAAGATCGTACGTTCCTAAGCTCGGTTCTCCTATGTCTGCATGTTGGGAGGTCTCTTTCTGTCCCTCTTCCCCCTGCCCTTTCTCGGGTTTGTCCTCCATGAGCCACTCTCTCTCCCAAGCCACTAACCATATGCCACCGCAAACGCTGAACACCAAGGTTTCCACGGCAACACGTCAGCCTTTTAATACATTTTGCTAGGGGTGAAGACGGATGAGCTGGGTATCTGGTCATTTGGATGGGAGAGAGCTGGGGCTCTAGAGCCTGGATATAGCTGCCCTTCTCCCTGGAGGCAGCTGCCTTAGATTCAGGGCCAGAACGAGGAGGCTCACTCACTCACCCATGCCCCCTCCTCTGAGTTAAGCAGACCCATGTGGCCTCACAGGGTCAACTGGGGGAAGATGGGGTTGCCTGGCCCCCAGGGTCTTCCCCAAGCCCTTGAACTCCCCTCGCTCCCTGTCAGGGAACAGCGTCTTCCTGCACTTAACCCCAAAGGAAGTCCAACAGCTCGGCTATCAGGAGACCCAAGGGAGAGTCGTCGAGGTGAAAAACCCAGTGGCCTAGGCCTACGAGGAGAGGGTCCTGGTGACGCAGTTGGAGAAGGCAGAGGTGTCTCATCGATGAAGGTGGTGATCTCCTCCCGGAAGAAACCAGGACCTCGTGGGGGTCCCCCACCTGACCCCAGAACCCCACTTTCTAAAAACTGACGAAGGCTGGCTAAGCCCCCGCCTTCAGCCTCTTCCTCATCCTCCTCATCCTCCAGCCTGTGTCTCTGTCCCAGGTATTCTGGAGGGCCTCCAAGGGCTCTGCTCTGAGCTGGAAGGATCCGGATATCATCAGATGATGACCACTTGTGCAGGAAGGAGCCTGGTGCCCGAGGAGTAGAAAAGATGTTGGTGTCATCATGGGATAATCGTCGGGACAAAGGGACCTGGGAAGAGGAGCAGGTGAGACCTGGAGATGCTGCAGAGACAAAGGTAGAGGTGACAGGAACCAAAGTGGGGACTCTGCAAGATGGCCTCATATTCCTCCCTTTCTCCAAAGCATTTACCCTAGTGGGCAAACCTGCTTCTGAGAAGACCTTTCTGAGGAAACCGTTCTTCCTCCTGTCTTCCCTTCACCTGACCCTCAGGGTACCCTGTAGCCGTGGAGTAGGGGTGTAAGGGACCAGGAGATGAATCCTTCTGTCCCCTACCTGTAAATAGTGCACTCTCTCAAGAGGTGGAAAGAGCATGTGCCGTCCAGGCAGCAGTTTCACCTGGGAGGGGTCCCGACTCCCTGACCCTGTGGCCCCGTTAGCATCAAAGCGAATTTTGCACACTCGGCCATCTGTGTAGTCATCACAGGCGCCATCTAGGAGAGAGAAGGAGCTGAGCGAGTGGTTACAGGCAGAGAACAGCTACCCTCTCCCCGTCCCCTTCATAAAGTCCAGGAGGATCCTCTGGTTCCCATTAGTCTGTAAGCCCCAGGAAGATCTATGGCGAGCTTCCCTTCGTTCACTGAATCCATGGTCCTTTACGGGCAGACATTTTTACTTGTTCTCCAAGAATTCTCCCAAGAGCAGGGGATCTCTTTCAGGAAGCTTAGCTTCCCTTTAATGCCACATCTTCTCTGCATTAGGACTGAGGACCCTTTCTCTGGAGCTCTGCTTGGCATGGACCAAGCTGGTCAGTGTAGGCTTCCAGAGAGGAGCAGAGGCCTGGTGAAAGGCACAGAAGGAAGCAGGGCTTGAATGGCCAAGCACTTGAATCAGGCTAGAGGGAGCCTCGAGTTGGCTCCAGCTTAGTCCAGTAGGGGGCACCCCAGGGCAGCACATCTCCTCAAGGAGAAGAGCAGTAGAAAGAACAGAAAATAGAGGTAGCTGTCCAGGAAAGAAAAGGCCCCATCCCTCCTCTGACCGTCATCACCATCATCCTCGGACATGATAGCGACACACTGCTCCCACACTGTGCGCACATCTGCACGGTAGCGTTCACATGACCAGATGAAGGATGGAAGGAGCAGCGTCTGTGCCATGGAGCACCACAGCACAGCCAGCACCATCCATGGCGGAGCGGAGTCCGACTTCAAGGAGAAGAAGCTCACCACCTGACGGGGGAATAGGGAATGGCTGGTCAGGCGGAGAGCCCAGGCCCCACCTAAGCCTAATACCCACCCTTAAAGCAAGGGACTAGGAAGGGAGGCGGGAGAGCCATGAGGGAAGTTGAGAAGTGCTGTAAACAAAACCCTGACATTGGGCATTGGAGAGGGGTGAGGGGAGAGGAAAAGTAAGGCTCCAGGGAAGTCAGAGAGAGAGAGAGAAACCCAGGAATGGGGCCTGGATAGTGTGGTGGGATGAGCCTGGGGCTTCCACTCAGGAGAGCTCAGAGAATCGTCTCCATGGAGAATCAGGGAACAGATAAAGGCTCAGGGCGGCTAGAGTGACAGGTTGAAGAGTGAGCTGGAGAATGGAAGTGAAGGGAGAGACGGTCAATGGAGCTGAGAGACTGAGTAATGGGGGTGAGATAGAGACAGGGAACCCCAAATGTCAGGAGATGGAAGGAAAGGATGGTAGTCGCCGGAACTGGAGATGGAGCTTCTGCATGGTTGGTAGAACTGGAGGGCCCTGAATATTAAAAACAGGTTGAAGGACCTCAGTCTCACCAAGATGGGCACCCCCGTGAGTGAGTCATAGAGAAACACGATGGCGCTGACCAAGTTGGTGACTTGCAAGGATGTCTTGGCAGATTCAGAGCCATCCAGCGAGGACCGCCGCTTCCCTCGAGTGTCCTCCACCACAATGGCTGGCACCTCAAAAGCTGGCCGGGTGCCCAAGCCCCCCAGCCCACCTGCTTTGGCTCCCACACTGGCCCCCGCTCTCCGGGCCTGCCTAGCCCTCCGGGGCCGGGCCCACAGTGTCTGATAGAATGTGATAGCCACACAGACCAACCCCATGACAATGCCCCCAAGAAGCAAGAGGCTAAAGCAAACACCAAAACCGAGGCCGATCTTGGAGACTATGAACTGGCAGCCTCGGGCATAGTAGCGTTCTCCGTTGTTGTGCCAGCCGATGGAGGGCAGCGTGGAAAGGATAAAGCTGACCATCCAGATGCCCATGACGGCATGCAGTGCCTGCTTCTTGGCGTTGCTGAGGCGGTAGTTGACGGGCCAGCGCACCATCCACATGCGATGGTAGGAGAGCGAGGCAACCGTGAAGCAGGTGGCCAGGGCCAGTGTGTAGTAGGTGGACACAAAGACCTTGCAGATGCTCTCGTTCCAGTCATAGTCAGAGGAAGCCTGGCGCCGGAGCTGCACCACGGCAAAGGTGGTAAGGGGCACAGCCGCCATGAGTATATGTGTACCCGCCAGGAAGCAGAGCAGTAACTCCAGTGGCTTGTGCTTCTGTTGCTTGGCTGAGATGCTAAGGATGATCCAGGCGTTGGCCAGCAGGGCCAGGAGCCCACAGGCCAGCCAGGACAATGCATTTGAATGTAGGGAGGCCTCTTCTGCCCCCAACCCACCCCGAGCCATCCTATCCCTGGCCCTATCCCCCACCCCCTTGAATTCCTGGGGGCGGGGGCTAAGTCTCACCCTGGAGCCCCACTCACACACACCCCCATGATGCCCAGAGTCCCTGCCCTGGAGCCAGGTAAGCTGACCCCAAGTCTTCCTTACTTCTCAGCATGGCATGAATGACCCAGCTAAGGCCAGGTGGGCAGGGCAGGGGAGAAGGCAGAGAATCAATAGAGGTGGTAGCCCTCAGCCTCCATATTGGGTGGGGCTTTTTCTTAATTAGCCCTGTAATTGACGAGGGAGGCAAGCAGGCAGCTTGCCCATCTATGAAGCTGGCTGGGGAGCTCTGATTCTCATGCTGGGACTTCCAGGTCTCTTTCTCCAGTGAGGCTTGACCAGTGGGGGGTGGGGGGTGTCTTGGTGCGCAGGGGTGGAGCTCAGTCACCTGGACAAGCTGTGAGGGAGGATGAGATGAGGAACACACATTAGGCCTGTGCTGTACTCTAGCTTGCTTGTACCCCCTTTCTCTTGAAACCATAGAAATGACTGATCGCTGAGCGTCGCTGGGGTCATTCAGAGCATCCCCCGGGCTTAAATCAGATGCCCACTTACCCACAGGGATAAGACATTTCATATATTTCCAGACTACATGGGAAAGGCTCCTGGTCCATTCCTTTTAGCCCTTTCTCCCTGCTTTGGAATTCCAAGTTTCCTTCTTATAATAGTCCATGCTCGGAACTACCCACCCCTGTCTCCAAGTCCCCAGGTCTTTCTTCAGTTGCTAATGGGAGACAGACATGTGATGTCTTCTTTCTCCGGGACTCACATTAAAGCAGGAGCCCTTTTCCTGCGTGCCATTCTCCTGGACTTTGTGCTCAGCCCACTGAGCCAAGCCTGGATTTTCTGCCCTTCAGCTACCTAAGGGAAATGGGAGAAGGAAGGCTGGGACTGGGGGGTGGGGGGTAGCTAGGGAACCTGAAGGCGGGGAAGCCACTGACATCAGAAGCATCCAGAAATGGAAAGAGGGGGAACTAGGGAGAAGGAGGAGAGTTTGAGCAGGAGAGAAAGAGGGGGAAAGTGGTAGTATCTGGAAATAGAAGGGACGGTCCAGAAGCCCCTGAGGCGGAGATATTGGAGGGAGGTGGGTGGGAAGGAGGAGAGTGGAGGTAGGGAGCCTGGGAACTGAGACCAGGAGGGGGAAAGCCAGACCTTAAATAGGCTCACTGACCTCACTAGGAGACCTTGGGTCTCCTCCCCTGGCCCACAGCCTCAGTTTCCCTCTGATAGAAGAGGGGTGGAGGGTTCTGGTCTTAGTGACACCGTTCAGGGAGACCTGGGGAAGGCACTAGGAAATCAAGTGAAGTACTGAACAGAGTAGACTGTAAGGATCAGCATGATGGCTTCGGGGCAGACGGAGGAAAGTGGGGCACAGCTGTGCCACCGTTTGTTTCCTGCGAAGAACCTTAGACCCTAGCTCTCCCCCAGAGGTCCCAGTCCACCCCCACCTTTGTCTTCCCCCCCCCCCAGCCCAGTACATCCTAGTTGCCATGGCAATGGACAGCCAGGAGGAGGTGTAGGGAATTGGTCCGAATGCCCCCCACTGCCCTCCCTTACAGCCTTTGGACCCCATCCCACTCACCCTCATCCCACCCCCAGACCCAGTTGGTGGTTCGGAAAGAAAGAGAGGGAGAGTCAGAAAGGGAGGGAAGAAGAAAGACGTGAAGGACAGAGAGAAGGGGGTGAAGGACAGAGCGAAGGGAAGGGGAGGAGGAAGACTGGGGGCTTTCTGACCAACAGGGGTCCCTCGCCCTTCGCCTTGAAGAGATAAGGTCAGGCGGCTCCTCCCTCTAGTCACCTAGGGTGTTCTCCAGGGCAGAAACAGCAGGTGGCTGGGGAGGAGGGCCGAGAGGAGGGGCGCAGAGGCAGCTCGCGGGGCGCGGTGGGGTGGGAGAGTGGAGACACGCGGGGGGCCGGGCAGGGGTCCTCTTACCTCTGGCTACGTCCTGCTCTGCCGGGGAGACGCACTCCCGACGAGGCTCGCCCGGGCTCCCGCCGCCTGCCGGCTCCAGCTCGCCAGCCCTCCTCCTTCCTTCGCTCCCTCCCTCCGGGCCTCCCTCCCCCCCAGCCCAGCCTCTCGGGCTCAGCCCGCGGCGCAATAGTTTGCGGCCCCTCGAGGCCCCTGTCTCCCAGGGTCATCGGACTGCGAGTCCGGGGTTAGGGAGCCACTGGCCAGTCTTGGGGTCGGGAGGTGGCGAGGGTGGGGCGGGGAAACTGGACGGCGGTGACTTAGAGGAGGAGGGGCAAGGAAGGCGCGGGGAGGGTGGGGGCGAGGAGGACGGCGGGGAGCGGGCTTCATTGGTGAAGCGGTTGGTGTCCTGCCCCCACCCCATCCCGGTTTTTCAACACGAATGAGCCCGAAGAGGCAGCTGGTGTTGTTAGGGACTGAGGAGCTAGCTGTTCAGGGAGGAGGAAGCGTGTGTCACCGTGTCACTGTGTGTGCATCCTTGTGAGGGCTGTTCTTGGGTAGAGCTCAGAGGAGCCCCGCCTGAAGGCCTGCTAGAAGCTAAGGGGGCTTGCGATGCCAGCTGAGATCGCTTGTGAAGTTGGAAATGCTTGCTTGGATCAAAAAAGAAGTGGGCTCTTGGTGCACCTGCGTACACCTCTTTCTCTTCCTGGAATGCAAGCATACACTTATGATGGGGACACACACAACTGCCACACACGGTTTCTCATAGTCTCTTTCCTCTCCCATACATCACCGTGGAGTCTCTCTGTTAATTACACAGTTGCACACAATGCTTTTGGGATGTGAAGGTGGGCGATCAGCCTCCAGGGAATGTTCCCGTCTCTGGGCGACTTCATCTTCTTTCTGGGCCAGGCCTGGCAACTAAAGCCCCGAAGATTCCTGGGGCCCCCAGCCAAGTGCAATCTCTGTCTCTCTTCATCTGTCTCTCTCTGCCTCTCTCTTTCTAGAGTGTGTGTGTGTGTCTCATACACACACACACAGTGCATTTTATTTATAGTCTTTATTTTTTCTGTCAGCTCAGGAATCAGGAGTGGGGAGTGGGCAAAAATAAGCCATGAGCAGTGAGGAGAAATGGGGAGGGGATGTTTTCAGAAGAGGCCAGCTGGGAAGAAAACTGGAAAAAGGGAAAGGGGTTGGGAGGGGGGAAGGAGGTGCTAAAGCAGGGAAGTGAAAAACAGGCAGAGGAGGCTGAGGATCTGAAAGAAGCAGCCCAAGACTGTCAGGGAGTCCTTGGACCCCTAATCTCTCTGCATGGAAGGCACTACCACCTGCCACGGCGGTCTCCATAAAGGACCCCAGCATTGCCCACTTCCCAGGTTCTGCCCTCACCGAGCAGCAGGTCTCTGTGCACCTCTCCCAGCCTAGCTCTAAGAGAACTAGGGTTTTGTCCTTTGGTAAAACGGTTGGGGGACAGCAGTGGTCAAGGAGGGACTTGAAACAAAAAGTGATCCTCCGTCCTCTCACGGATCTCTGCTGGTGCTGTGTTCCTGTGTGTCCTTGGTGCATGCCGAGTGTCTAGGCCTAGCTTCAGCACTTGATAGCTGTGCAATCGTGGGTAATCTTTCAACTCAAGCTTGCTTTTCCCGGGGATGATTGGTTAGGTCTGCCATGTTGGCTATCACTTTTAGTTTGTAGGATTACAGTGTGTGTGTGTGTGTGTGTGTGTGTGTGTTGTGTACATGAGGGTCACAGGACATACATAGGGGACAATTTTCAGGAGTTAATTCTCTCCTTCCACTCTCAAGAATTAAACTCAGGTCATCAAGCTTGGTAGCAAGAGCTTTTCACCGCTGAGCTATCTTCCTCACCCACATGCAAATTTTTTGTAAGGGTCAAATACCCCGGCCATTCAACTGGCTTATGAATTAAGATCTGCTGTTGGATATATGGACAGTTGTGTGGCTGTGGGCAGGGTGTGTGGCCTGGGTGTGTGTTGGTGCACTGGTCAGAGCGTGAGTCTGGTCTCGCCACCTCAAACGAGAAGCAGACAGCATGGGAAGCTAAGGCTGACATCCCGAAAGGATGTGCGACCTGCCCAAGGCCCCCCTCCCCCCTCCCCACTCCAGCTTAGTCCCAGAGCCCTCTTGTAGACTGTGCTGTGTATTTCCAGTCCCACCATCCATGCCAAGTGCTGTGCACTGCCCTTAGATCCAAGCAGACAGCTGGAAAGAGGTTCCAGGACGTTAGTCAGAGAAGGGCCGAGGCTCTGGCGTAAAGGCAGCTGCGAAGAATAAGCTGGCTGTATGTGCTTCAGTGTCTGAGACACAGAGGGCAAGCTCTGCCCAGGGGCTTGGGAATGGAGGGAGAGAAACCAGGGCCCGTTGAGGAAGAGGAGAGCAGGAGGCCAGAGGCACTAGGTCTGCTACATTCATCTGGTCCACGGGCCTCAGTGGATGAGACTGGACACAGGCGGTAGGCTGCAGGCGGGGCCCAGGCCTCAGATGAGATTATGGGTCTTCTGCATCCGGCTGGAAGAAAAAAGAACAAGGGGAGCTGACCCCATCTTCCACTCCCTCCATGTGCTCCCACTTCCCCCCTGCAGCACAGTGGCGCCTCAGGGCATCACTGCAGCCTCTGTGCAGACCCACAGGCCCACTGCCCCTTCACCTCCCTTTCCCAAGTTCCATCCCTCATTCTCTCCACAGCCTCCTCTTTATCCCATCTCCTGACTCCATCCCTACTGGAACCTCGCATCCTTCTCAACTCTGTTTTCTTGTCTCCCTTGACCTTTTCTTCCCTGTCTCCCATCCTCTCTCTCCCCTCTCACCCCTCAGCCCAGATCCTTACTGGGAGCACTGGCAGGTCTTCTTCTCACTGAGGAGCCTCTTGATCTGGGTCATCCGTGCTGCCTGGCGCTGCCCAGGGACAAGGAGAGTAGTTGTGAGGGTCCCAGTCCTCCAGGAGGGAGGTGCCCCTTGGAGGGGGGAGGGGAGGAAGCTGGCAGAGAAGAAGCATTTACTGTGGCTTAAGCCACCTCTCCTGGCAGTGACTTCTGTTCCTTCTTATGTCTCCCTTCTGACAGAGGCAGGGTCTGGTCTGCAGTGAGGAACTTCAGGGGCTAAGCAGAGAAAGCTAAACCAGAAGCCAGTGGCAGGGTACCCAGCCTCGTGTACAAGGTATGGGGGCCCTTGGGGATCCAGTAGCAACCATGGTATGCTCACTCACCTGTTGGTTGCGGCACCTGACACAACAGAGGATGCAGAGCCCAGTGAGAGCCAGGAAGCCGAGGGTGCCTCCCAGCACGACAGCCAGGAACATTCTCTGGTTCAACCCTCTGGATAAAACTGGGAGAAGAGGGAAGGGAGGTAATTTGGTTGGGGATTTAGCTCTGGCGGCAGGAAACCCTGTGTCCACCCCAGGCACTGTGAAGAAAGAGAGAAAGACAGTGCCTCTATCTAGGGACAGTCTTAACTCTGGTCCCACGCCAGAGAAAAGAGGTGAGTGCAAAAGGGTCTTGGAGGTACAGACCAGGGAAGGGACGGTTTTTCTTAGCTCTCTAGAGAACTAGAAGCAGGCTCTGTGTGATTGTTTAGGTTTAAGGGGAAGATGGGGAGATGGGTAGCTCTTAGCCAGGATGACCTCATTCCTAAACTGTACAGAAATATGGAGGATACAAGTGGGAACCTAAAGCCCAGGACCACCCTTCTCACTTCTATCTTCAGGCCTTTTTACAAAATGCCTCCACGTGAGAGGAGCCTGGGGGCTGGGACTCTAGGCCAGCATAGCACGGCCCTGGGAAGTTCCACAGTTGACAAGGCCAAGGCTCAGCGAGAGGCTTTAGAAACTGGCTCCTTACCCTGGATCTTGGAGTCTATCTTGACTTCTTCACCTTCACTTAGGAGACAGTGCCACATTCCTGCCTCAGGGTCCAACACTTGAATCACTTTCTTCTCCCCAGAGACCCTAGCCTCCTGATTCTCCTGCTGCAGAGTCAGTCTTAACTTGGGGGAGGTAGGTCCCACTACCTCACAGGACAAAGTGTAGTTGTCGTGCTGAGTCACTGCAGAGGAAGGAGAGGCAGAGGCCTGGGTCCTGTTGCTCAGGGTTCCCAGCCCATTCAAGCTGTAAGTGTCCAACCGGATTTCCTTCTCACCTGGCTCAATCGATACTCTGCCAGCCACTGCGACTGCAGAGACACAGGGTGTCCCTGGACAAACGGCTTACCTGCCTGCGCCAGTGACAGTAGTGAAATGTATGAATGAAGTGTTTGAATGGGGCCAGGCATGTGCTAAGTAGGAAGGGTTAGTCACTGTGATTTGTGGAGTTGAAATGATGACAAGTTAAGGGTACAAATAACTCATTGTCAAGGTTGTTATTACAACCACTGCTGTGTGCAAAAGATTTTGTTCCATATTTAAAAGATGATGGGGCTGGAGACATGGCTCAGAGCATTTGCTGCCCTTCCAGAGGTCCCACATAGCAGCACCCCTCCTGTAACTCTAGCTGCAAGGGGTCTGACACTCTCTTCTGCCTCCTCTGTCATACACATTCGTGGCATACACACACACACACGCACACACAAATATAAATCTTAAGGGGCTGGAGAGATGGCTCAGTGTTTAAGAGCATTAGCCGCTCTTCCAGTGGATCCAGATTCAATTCCCAGCACCCACATGGCAGTTCACAGCTGTCTATAACTTCACTTCCAGGATTTCTGACATCAGCATACAGACATAAAATAGAGATAAATTATGTAAAATAAATATCTTTTAAAAGTGACAGGGGAGAGAGAACAGAAATCGGCAGTGGTGGGGGCAGGGGGTACCTCTAGAACATGCCAAAGACCTGGGACGGGGGAAGTTCCGGAGTGTCTGTGGCGGTGTCTCTAGCTGAAAGTTTTAGCAGTGGTGGATCCTGAAGTGGACCCAAGTGTGAAGTGTGGCCAAGCAGGACTCCCAGTGGAGGGATAAGAACAGCAACCCATCCACAAAACTTTCAACCTAAAATGTGTCTTGCCTACAAGACGTGCAGGGACAAAGAACAGAGACAGAGGAAATGGCCAACCAACGACTGGACCAAATTGAGACCCATCCCATGGGCAAGCACCGATCCCTGACACTATTAACAATATCCTGCTGTGCTTGCACACAGGAGTCTAGCATAACTGTCCTCTGACAGGCTCCACCCAGTAGCCCATGGAAACAGATGCAGAGAACTATAACCAAACACTAGATTGAGCGTATGAAGGAGCTGGGGGAAGGATTGAGGGACCTGAAAAAGATAAGAGACTCCACAGGAAGACTAACAGAATCTACTAACCTGGACCCTTGATGGCCCCCAGTGAACCACCAACCAAAGACCAAGCATGGGCTGGACCTAGCCCCACTACCCCGCACATACATGGCAGATGTGCACCTTGGTCTTCATGCTTGTCCCCTAACAACTGAAGCAAGGGGGCTGTCCCTGAATTTGTTGCTTGCCTGTGGATCCTGTTCCCCTAACTGGGCCACCTTGTCTGGCCTCAGTGGGAGAGGATGCACCTAGTCCTGCAGTGACTGGTTTGTGTGTATGGGGCAGCCCAGGGGCTCCCCCTTCACAGAGTGGAGAAGAGGTGCTGGGAGGAGACAGGGGCTGATATTGGGATGTGAAGTGAATAAATAAATAAGTTATTTTTTTAAAAAAATGAGCAAGAAGGTCCACAATGCGGAAGGGGCTTCGCAGAAGGTCAGGCAGAGGAAGAAAAAAACCCTGTGCGTTTGTCTCAGTGGAGCCGGTCCTAGAGTAGATTATAGATGTTGGGGAGAGAACGTGTGGATTCCAGCCTCAATTCAAAGCCGGCTCAGGACTAGGTGCTGCTCAGTAACAGACTTTGTGCATAGCATGCATGAGGCCCTGGTTTACATCCCCAACACATACACATACACACACAAAACCAAAACCAAACAAAACCAAAAAAAAAAAAACCCAAAACTATCTCAAGATCCAGAGAGTCCATTATTTAGTCAGATAACCAGGGTCAAAGCATCCCCGTATGGGACCTGACCAGCCATGGAGAGCCCTAGACCATCTCTTTCACCTTTTACCCCAGGCTTACCCTTCTCAGCCCACCCCTTACCTTTCATCACCACCAGGTTCACTTCGTGATGCAGTGTGCCTTTGTCCAAAGTCAGACTCAGGGTGCCAGAACCAGCAAACTGAAGCGAGACCTGGGGTATCTTGAGGCTGAGGGGGAGTGTTTCTGCCAGCTGGAGCTTGAGGTTGCTGGTAGACTTTTCCACAGATATCTTTCTGTTCTTTAGGGAGAAGGCGATCCAGAGCTGGGAGAAAGAAACCTTCTCTGCCTTCCACCTCAGCTCTCCCTGCAGGTTTTCCTCTCCAAAGTTGAGTGGGAAGGAGAACTCCGCTGACTCCCCCTCACTCTTATAGGCCGTGATGGATGTTCTCTGAAAGCCTGGAGGTGTGAAGTCAGCAGAAATAACTCTGAGTGCAGATGGAGAGGAAGATGAAGGAGTGTATGGCGGGGCAAGCATGTGGCACAGGGACACAGGGACTGTCTACCTACCAAGGTGGTCATTTCTCTCTTCTGGGACCCCTGGAGGCCAGAAGCTATCTGACGTTTGCTTATCATCCTTCACAAGATAAGAACCAACACTAAAATAAACTTGCTGTGTGTCAAACACTGGTCTCCATGCTCTACACTGTCGTTCTCTCTGTGGTACTAGAAAGTTGCCGCTGCTGCCACAGTTAGCATCATCCCCATCTTACGAGTGCGGACACCACAGGATAAGAGTGTGTAGTTGTCACTTGACAGGAAGGGAAATCATTCACTGTAGTGGGAAGCTAACCAACTACCCAGAGCTGCTGAAGTCATGGGTATTGGAGGGGAATCCATGTCTGAGTCAGCATTCTATTGCTCTGAAGAGACCATGGCCATGGCAACTCTTATAAAAGGAAGCAATTAATTGGGGCTGGCTTACAGTTTCAGAGGTTAGGTCCATTCTCATCACGGAGGAAAGCATGGTGGCCTACAGGCAGTGCTGGCGCTATAACTGAGAGCTACAGCCAGTTCCAAAGGCACAGAGGCAGACAGACTGGGCCCACTGTGGGCTTTTGAAACTTCAAAGCCCACTCCTAATGACACACCCACTTCAAAGGCCACACCTCCTAATCCTTCCCATCCTTCTCAAATTGTGCCTCTCCCTAGGGACTAAGCATTCAAATATGTGAGCTTATGAGGGCCATTTTCATTCAAACCACTACAACCGACAACCATCTCTTTACTAAGCCAGCATAATCCCTAACACCATTCTAAACGGTTGTCCTTACACCCACAGATAAACGTAGTCCTCGCCCCTCATCAAGGACACTTCTCTGTAACAGATGGAGACCTTTAAGTGCAGAGCTGTGGAGACCAGTCCCACCGGATACATCTAGAAACCCGAGGTTTCAGAAGATTGTAAGGGCCAGAGGAACACAGAGTTTGCTGTGAGACTGTGTCTCCTATGAATGTCAGAAACGACACCTGTAAACTCTCATTACCAACATGGCTGCCTAAACATGGCCTGAACCAGGACAATACCAGTAGACATGCTAATCTGGAAGTCGGGGGAACTCAGGAGGCCTCAGCCTTAGATAAAAAAAAAAAAAAAGCCGGGTGGTGCTGGCGCACGCCTTTAATCCCAGCACTTGGGAGGCAGAGGCAGGTGGATTTCTGAGTTCAAGAGTTCGAGGCTAGCCTGGTCTACAGAGTGAGTTCCAGGACAGCCAGGACTATTCAGAGAAACCCTGTTTCGAAAAACCAAAAAAGAAAAAAAAAATCTTCCCCAGGAGAAGCACACTAATTGGTTATCCAATAACCAAAGATCAGCTCTGTAAAATCATGTACATAAGTAAGTGGTATGTGTGTGTGTGTGTGTGTGTGTGTTTGTGTGTTGTAAACAAATAAAAAGATGCCATGAATTTGAAAGAGAGTTGGTAGGGGTACGTGGGAGGGTTTGGAGGGAGGAAAAGGAAATGATGTAATTATATTATGATCTCCCCAAAATTAAAAATAGTAACACAGGAGTGTGTGGCTGTGGTAGAGTTGTGATCTGTGTTCAGGGTCCTCAGTCTTCCCACAGGGTCTAGTTCAGGATATAGAGATGCAATGTAGGTACCTACATGACTGATTTGCTGTAGTTTTCCTGAGTACACAGACTTGTCCACTAGTAGGAGAGACGGTCAGAGACAAAGACAATAGGTGTCCCATACTCTCACCTCCTTCTTTCCCACACTTCCCTCTTGTATACTCCCTTGGTTGCTGTACTGCCACTCCCTAAGGGGGAAGGGCCCTCAAGATAGACCTCAGCTAGAGAAGGGTCTGGAGTCATTCCATCACTTCCTCCAGGAGATCCAGGGACCAACAGAAGAGCTGAGTGAGGCCCGGGAATTTCCGAGCAGGAAGAAAGCTGCAGGGTTTGTAGCCTCTTACCCAGCACTGACAGTTTCATGTCGAATGTATGCTTTTTCTGGCTCAGGGTCACGGTGCAGTTCCAGATGTCACTGTCCTGAATCCTTATGTTGGGCACGAAGAGAACTTTGGAGCTCTTGACAATTTTACCCCCTCTGTATTTGCACTCTATCGAGGGGTTAGAGACCTTATGGTTGCTATCCAAGGTCAAGGTCAGGTTCTGCCCCTGCAACAGGGTGGTACCTGGACTGATGGTCACTGTAGAGGAAGCAGAGTACCTGCATCACACACACCTGCATCACACACACCATCCTCAAGGACTAAGGAAGAAAGAACAACATTGTTTCTCCATCATCCCGTCTTTCAACAGTGCCTCCCTTCCCAACTCTCAGCACAAGACAAGGTTCTCCCTTTCTCTTTCCCTTCTTCCTTGTCTCCTTCCTTCCCTCCTTCCTTCCTTCTTTCCTTCCTCCCTTCCTTCCTCCCTCCCTTCCTTCCTTCCTTCCTTCCTTCCTTCCTTCCATTCCTCCTCCTTTTATTCCCTTCTTTCTCAGTCCTTGTCCCTCCCCCATTAACAAAGAGGAACACTCTGACCCACCTGTGGTCTGAAATATCATCAGTTCAGGTCCTGGTGTGAGAATGGAAGGGAAGAGGGGAGACTTGTCCATCCCAGGACTGTCCCACTCACCTCTGAACACCCACAGCTCCACCTCCTGTCTCCTGTTCTCCAGCTCGCAGATGTAAGTCTGGGAGTCGTCCATCCTGAGTTTACTGATGACAAGAGGGAATGATCCTTTATCCCACGCCCCTTTTCTGGAACTAAACCGATCCTTCTGCTCAAATGAACCTGTGAATAGAAGCCATACACAAGAAAGTGAGGTACCCTGGTACCCTCCGCCAAAAAGAGTGCCCGCAACTCTGCTGGTCTGAGTTGGCAGTCTACTTCATCTCTATCAGGGTCTTCAGGCTGATGAGAAGCCCCGCCGATATGTATTTACATGGTGGGAACAGCGTCCCACTAGCCGAAACATATCAAAAGACACTATGCTGATCTGGAGAGCACCCCCTCTTACAGACTAAACATTGTACACACACCATCTCCAGTGACCTTCACAATTCCCGAGAACACAGACTGTTTTGCCGACAGTGCAGATATGGGGACGCTGTCACTCACGGTTGAAACAGTGCCTCGAATTCATACATCTTAGTCATTTGTCCCATGAATTAGAATTATTAATGGCCATTCAGAACAAAATGTCTCCCCCAAAGGATGGTTAAATAAATTATACTTCAGTCTTGCGTGGTGGTAAACCTCTCCTCCCAGCCAGGCCTCAGGAGGTTGAAGAAAGAACATTTGAGAGTTCAAGGCCAGTTTGGGCTATGTGGTGAGACCTGGTCTTAAAAACTTACCTGACGCCTCAGTGAGTAAACACTTTCAACCTGGCGACTTTAACTCAATCCCCAGGACCTGTGTGGTAGGAGAAAACAAACTAAACTCCCACAAGTTGTCCCCTGACAACCCTCACCACACGATGACTTGTTTTGTTTTGTTGGTGGTTTTTTGTTTGTTTTTGTTTTGTTTTGTTTTGTTGTTTTTTTTCTGAGACAGGGTTTCTCTATGGTGTACTGGCTGTCCTGGAACTGTAGACCAGGCTGGCCTTGAACTCGAGGCTCCACCTCCCCCACCATCCCCCTTTTCTACCTTTAAATTTTTGACACCTGTAAGAGGTGGAGCTTAAAGTTCAGTCCTGGGATGTACACTCTGCAATGCTGTCTCTGGATAGCTCCTTCAGCATGAATGCAGGGATCTGTTTTCTCTTTCCCTCCTCTCTTTTCCCTTCTTCCTCATTCATGATGGGGACGGAGCCCAAGGCCTCTCACATATTAAGGAGGCTGTACGCTGGAACTACACTGTCTCCATGCCTCCTGGTTCACTCTCTGTCTTATGTCCTTCTCCTATTGCTATGATAAAACACCCTGACAACAGCATCTTAAAGGAGGGAGTTTCAGGGCTCAAGGGTCCAGTCCATCACGGCTCAAAGCCCAAGGCAACGGGAGCTGAAGCAGTCGATCACATCCTATGGCCCAGCGGGAGGCAGAGTATGATGAATAGATCCTTGTGCTTAGCTGTTTTGTTTTTTGGGTTTTTTTTGTTTGTTTGTTTTTTCAGGTTTTTTTTTTTTTTTGGTTATGTTTTGTTTTTTTCTTTTTTCCTGTTTATTCCCACAGTGGGCGGCTCCTCCACCAGAACCTGATCAAGAGAGCTCCTCACAGTCATGCCCAGAGACTAAAAAGTGTCCCACAAGTTCCCTGGTAGAATGTTTTGATAGTATGTAAGTATTTACACAATGTGTGTGGCTGGTATCCATGGAAACCAAAAGAGGGTGTCATTTCCCGCAGCCTAGGTGTTACAGATGGTTGTGAGCCTCTCTCAATGAGTGCTGGGAAACAAACCCAGGTCCTCTGCAAGAGGAGAAAGTGCTCTTATCCACTCAGCTGTCCCTCCAGCCCACAATAAATAAAATTAATTTTAAGAAGGAAAATATAGACAGGCTGGGGTTGTGGCTCATGGTAGAACACGTGCCTGTTTTCAATTTCTAATGTGGCAAGAAAAAAAGTTTTCAAGTGTGTGTGTGTGGTGTGTGGTGTGTGTGTGGTGTGAGTGTGTATATGTATGTGTGTGGTGTGTGGTGTGTGTGGTGTGTGTGTGTATATGTATGTGTGTGGTGTGTGGTGTGTGTGGTGTATGATATGTGTGTGATGTGTGGTGTGTGTGTATATATGTGTGTGTGGTGTATGTGTGGTGTGTGTGTGTGGTGTGTGTGTGGTGTGTGTGTGTGGTGTGTGTATGTGTGTCTGTGTGTGTGGTATGTGTGGTGTGTGTGTGTGTGTGTGTGTGTGTGTGTGTGTGGTGTGTGTGGTGTGTGTCTGTGTGTGTATGTGTATCTGTGTGTGTGTGGTGTGTGTGTGTGTGTGTGCGCACATGAGTGTGTAGGTGCCTGAAGGAGGGCATCCATTGTTCCTCTATGTCACTCTCCACCTTATTTCTTTGAGACAAGGTTTCTCTCTAGCCCTGGAGTTGGTATGGCGGTGAGCAAACCCGCCCACCTCCCGTGATCCTCCTGGTTCTGCCCTGTACAACACAGGGATTGCAGGTAGGTCACACCATTACAGATTTTCACATGGGTAATGGAGTTTCCAACTCAAGTCTGTCTTCATGCTGTAACAATTCTCACACAGTGGCCAGCTCCCCAGCCACAAGGAAAAAAAAAAGGGTTATGTACAGAAAAATGGATGCGGGGGAAGATGGTTCAGGAAAAGGAGATGACACAAGAAAGTAGCTCAAGGCAAGCTGTCAAAAGACATCAGGGTGTGGAGCTTTCAGCTGGGGTGCTGGGACGTGATGCAAAGAAAGCAGAACGCCTAGTGGACGCTCCTCAGCTGGGTGGCACACAGGGGATGACACGTGCCAATCCTTGTTTGGGAAGTCAGTACCTCAGCAGCAGAAAGAGGGACCCAAGAAGAAAGACAAGAAAGAGAATGGCCAGGTTGCTCACTGTGATGCCTGCGACAGACAGGTAGATCCTGGAGTTATTCACCAGAGTATCTAACTGAAACATTGAGCATCAGGTTCAGTGAGAAACCCTGGCTCAAAAATAAAGCAGAGATGGGGCTGGAGAGATGTCTTAGCGATTGAGCACTCAAGAGGACTTGGGCTCTGCCGGGCGGTGGTGGCACACGCCTTTAATCCCAGCACTTGGGAGGCAGAGACAGGCAGATTTCTGAGTTCGAGGCCAGCCTGGTGTACTGAGTGAGTTCCAGGACAGCCAGGGCTACACAGAGAAAACCCTGTCTCAAAAAAACCAAAAAAAAAAAAAAAAAAGAGGACTTGGGCTCAATTCCCGGAAACACAAGGCAGCCCACACCTGTTTGTAGCTCTACTTCCAGGGGACCTGACAAAACACCAATGCATATAAAATATAAATAAATAAATAAATAAATAAATAAACAAGCAGAAAGCAATAGAGGAAGACATGAAACACTGACCTTTGGTCTCCATTCAGACACACAGGGTGAGCACATCTACATGTGAACACACACACACACACACACACACGCAACCAGGAAGTTAGAAAGGGAACCGTTCCTACAGAACAAAAGCATTAACACAAAAGATTAGAAATTGTTAGAAGCCGGGCAGTGGTGGAGTACGCCTTTAATCCCAGCACTTGGAAGGCAGAAGTAGGTGACTTTCTGAGTTTGAGGCCAGCCTGGTCTACAGAGTGAGTTCCAGGATTGCCAAGGCTATACAGAGAAACCCTGTCTCAAAAAACAAACAAAAGAAAAAGAAATTGTTAAAAAGTTTTTTAATCTCACAGGTAAGGAAAATAAATTCCTTATTATGCAAATTATAAGAATGTTGTCATACTGTTAAACTATCGAATGAAGAATGAGGAGGAGAAGGAGGAGGAGGAAGGGGGGTTGGGGATTTAGATCAGTGGTACCACAAGGCCATGGGTTCGATCCTCAGTTCTGAAAAAAAAAAAGACAAAAAGAAGGAGGAGAAGGAGGAGAAGGAGAAGACAGAGAAGGAGGAGACAATGGAGACTGAGATGACGAAGAAGACAAAGAAGAAGAAGAAACTAAGGCTACGAAGGTGGATCAGTGGGTAAACTGCTTGCCACAAACTTTAGAGGGAGGCAGAAGACAACAAAATGTGTAGAAGCCCATGGGCCAGCAATCCTGGCATATACAGTGACAAACATCATGAGACCTGCCTCAAATAAGGTGGAAGGTGAGGACCAACACATGAGGGTGACCTCTGATCTCCATGTGTTGGTTGTGGCATGTATGTTCCTGCACTCACAAACAAATGCACACACAGGTTTAAATAAAATGTTCAATGCTGGCCATGGAGGCAGAAGCACATGGTAATGTCGACCAGCGTTAGTGTAGACAATCTTCTGGGATCCAGTGTGTGCTCACTAGGAACAGGACTCAGTTCACAGAACGCCTGCTTAGAATGCACAAAATCTTAACTCTTACCCACCCCCACCCCTGCACCAGTAAAGGTGGGCATGCCTATAATTCTCAGACAAAAGAGAATCAGGAGTTCTAGGTCATCTCTGCTACACAGTGAGTTCAAGGCCAGCCTAGGATATAGCCTGTTTCAAGAAATAAGTCACCGAAGCTGCAGACGTAGCTTGGTCGGTAGAGCTCTTTCGAAGCTTGCTGTACCTGGACCTGGGTTTGATCCTCAACAGCACATATGGCCACATAGACAGACAGTGTGTTTATCCACGTCTGTCATGCCTGTGCTTAGAAGGTACAAGAAACAGAAGGGTCAGAAGTTCAAGGTCGTCTTCAGCTACACAGGTGAACTTGAGGCCAATCTACGACCAGGGAGCCTGTGTCTAACTAAGTAAATCAAGTTGATCAGCCTTTAATTTATAAAACGTTCAGTTTGAAATAATAATCTTAGCTGGGTATGGCTTTAATCATTTGGAAGGCAGAGGCAGGCGGATATTTGTGAATTCAAGGATAACCTGCTCTAAGTAGCAAGTTCTAGGATAAACCAGGGCCACAAAGAGAGACCCTGTCTCAAAAACAACAGCAACAATAATGAAATGACTTCAGGGCTGGTGTGATGGCCCAGCAAGGAAAAGTCACAGGCTCCACAGGAACCTGACTACCTGAGTCCAATCCCAAAAACTGTTCTCTGACCTCAACACACGCACAGTGGCTCTCACATGTCTACATACACAAACACACACAAACACACACACATACACAATGATGATGATGGTAACAAAAACATTTTTAAAAGAATGATTTTTAAATGCAAGCCAAAGGTACAGAAATCATACTTAGCTGGGCGTGGTGGTACATTCCTGTAATCTCAGCATTTGGAAGGCTGTGCAGGAATATCACAAGTTCAAGGCCAGCCTAGCCTATGTAGAGAGTTGGAGGCTGGTTGGACTAGGTGATGAGTCCTTATCTTGAAGTAAAAATCATAATTAAAACATTGTTAAGTACTATGCTATGTCAGGTATAACAGTAATTTTTATTCCCAGTAGCACCAGGAATGGTGGCTCATGCCTGTAACCCCAGCATGTGAGAGGCTGAGGCAGGTGGATTACAGTAGGTTCAAAGGCAGCTTGGGCTACCCAGAGAGACCTTGTCTCAAAAAAAAAAAAAAAAAAAAAAAAACAGAAAATGACAATGGTTATCATTTTAGTTCTATTGCTGTGGATTGACACCATGACCTTGGCAACATAAAAAGAAAGAAGTTAATTAGGGTTTTGCTTACAGCTTCAGAGACTTAGTTCATTGTGGCCATGGTGGGGGGAGTGGAAGCATATGTACAGGCTGGAGAAGAAGCTGAGGTGTCTACATCCTGATCCAGAAGCAAAGGGAAAGAGACTGGACCTGGACAGCCCACTCCCATTGACACACTTCTTCCAACAAGGCCACGCCTCCGGATTCTTCTAATCCTATCAGAGTTGTACTCCTTGGTGACTAAGCACTCAAACATAGGAGCCTATGGAGTCCGTTCTGATTCAAACCACCGCGGCTATATGTTAGAGGACGTTATTTGGGGCTGGAGAGATGGGTCATCAGTTAGTGTTAGCAAGCAGGCGATTCTGCTGGCCTGCCCTAGGGGACCGAGCAATGGCTTGTGTCATCTGTTGCCACCACCATCAGGTGTACCAGCTGTGGGATGCATATACAAAGCCACCTCTCTCTCTTCCTCCCCCCACCTCCTTCTCATGTTCCCCACCAGTCTCTGCCCCCCCTTCCTGTCCCCCCTTCTGTGCTGTCACGGCTCTGATCCCCATCCGTCCGTCTGCCTCTCTGAATGTCTGTTCGTCAGCCTCTACTCCTTTCCCAGGCCGCTCTTCCTGTCCTTTCCCCAGTCAGCCCCCTTCATCCCGGACCTGTTGTTACTGTGGTTACTCAGGGGCGTACCTTGGCATGGCAATCCCTCACCCCGCTCTATTTCATAACAGTTAGGAGTGCTGACTTCTCTATCTGAAGCCCCAGGTTCCGTCCCAGCATCTACATGGTGGCTCACGACTATCTGGGGTCCAGTTCCAGTGGATCCAACACTCTCTTCCATCCTCCCCAGGCAGCGGGCCGTACATGGTACACAGACATACATGCAGGCAAAACGCCCATACGTGTAAAACAATAAAATACATTTGAATTTAAAGAGGGTCTTTGCAAAATGTGTTCAAGGATACAAACTTATCCTCTGGTGTTCTAACAAAACTGCAGAGCGCCTAACTGTCCAACAAAATGGAATTAGTCAAGTAAATCATAGTGTAGGTGAACAAGGAATTAGATAGTTACTGGAAAGAAATGAACTAGAAATACATACCTATTTCAGATAAAAAAATATACTTTAAAATTTTTTTTACTACATTTATTAGTTTATTTTTAGAGAGTGTGTGAGCATGCTCACTCGCACGTGCCATAGAGCACGAGTCAGAGGACAAGTTAGGGACATCCCAGGTCCTGGAACAAGAGTCAGGCTGCCAGATTTGGTGGCAGGCACCTTTAATCTGCTTAGCCATCTCACCGGCCCAAGCCCAGCACTCCAGGCCCAGTTCTGCCCCTAAGTAGGCATGATGCTTCTCTGGGAAGACTAGAGGCTGGACTGGAGCTGCATTTCCAGACTTCAGCCATTCAGAGACATTGCACATAGCTTAGGCAAATCTATCTGCTTTATACAGCGTCTTGTAGAATGTGTTCATTTTTAAGAGAAAGTAAATGAATTTTTGAGACAGTCTTGGTGTACGACCTCAGAACGTATCCCCTTCTTGCCTTAGCCTCCTAACGCTAGATTGTAGACCTGAGTGTCGTGTGTGTGTGTGTGTGTGTGTGTGTGTGTGTGTAGGTTGTTTTGCAAGACAGGGTTTCTCTACATAGCTCTGGCTGTCACAGAACTCACTCTATAGAATAGGCTGGTCTCAAACTCACAGAGATCAGCCTGCCTCTGCCTCCTGAGGACTGGGATTAAAGATGTGCTCCACCACCACCTGGCTTTTTGTTTTTTGTTTTGTTTTGTTTTGTTGTTTGTTTTGTTTATTTCTTTGATTTTTTTCTGGGGAATCAGACATGTTCTAGGCAAGCACTCTATATGACCGACCAGCTATTGCTTTTCACGAGAGTAAGCAAAGTATCATATTATTTTCATGGCCTGTAGTAATAATACTCTTGAAATCATATACTTTATACAATTATCTTTGCAATGTCTACTAAATTCATAAATATTAAAAGAATAGAGTTAAGATTCTAGAAGCCACATGTCATCAGCAGTTAGAAAAGGGGGATCCCAGAAAAGAGGGCCACTGAGGCGGTATGGAGCCTAGGCATCATGGGGCCTTGGACAGATTTCCCGACCCTCCAGCCCAAAGGTTTTCTATTTATTTATTATATGTAAGTACACTGTAACTGTCTTCAGACACCCATATGAGGGCATCAGATCTCATTACAGATGGTTGTGAGCCACCATGTGGTTGCTGAGATTTGAAATCTTGACCTCCGGAAGAACAGTCAGTGCTCTTAACAGCTGAGCCAAATCACCAGCCCAGGAATCCTACCTTTAACCAATACGTCCTTGCTCTGCTGTCGCAGAATAATCCTCTGGTCAGAGAACTTCCAGTTGAAGAGTACATTCTTCTTCTGGGAACTTTCGCAGGGCAGTTCCACTGAAGCCCCTTCTTTCCCCAGCACCACGGTCTTCCCTTGAGTGACAGCTAGGAGTTGGGCTGCACAGAAAAGAAGGTCATGTTTCAGATGCTAACAGCCGTCTCCTTCTGTGTCCCACCCTTTGCGGTTTCCCATTCGCCCTTCCTCCCGCACCATCTGCCGCTGGTCCACAAGTCAGAGAACTTACACAGCTGCAGCTGCAGCAGCAGCAAGTGCCTCAAAGAGATGCCTCCACACATGGCGGCCTCCTCAAATCGCTGGGGATCTGAGTCTGCAAAAATGGCAGGGGCGGAGGAAGTTAGAAATCATTAGTCTTCAGGTATTCCTTGGGCCTGGGGCTCTCTCTCTCTCTCTCTCTCTCTCTCTCTCTCTCTCTCTCTCTCTC